ATATAGCAGTTGCTGGCCTTTAATGGGATAGATATGTTGAACAGGTGGGAAATGCAAATGGTGGCAGTTCTGGATCTTTTGTGAACAATGAAGATTCACTTATGGAAATGGTTAGGTTTATAGCCAAAAGGCATATACTACTTCTTCATGCTGGAGGTGACTCTAAGAGGGTCCCATGGGCTAATCCAATGGGGAAAGTATTCCTGCCACTACCATATTTGGCAGCGGATGACCCGGATGGGCCTGTTCCGCTGCTTTTTGACCATATACTTGCAATTGCTTCATGTGCAAGACAAGCTTTGAAAGATGAAGGTTATTTGTCTTGTTTGTTACATTGGAGTAAAAGTTGAAAATTTTGATCTAGATTAATGATGTGTACGCACGTGTGCTTTCTTAAACATTCATAAAATTTAGGAATTATAATTTTCTGTATCTTGCAAATTGTCTTTGGTTTGTCATGCAGTATCAACTATCAAAATGTTTATCCAATTCAATTGCTGTAAAATGGCTGCATTTTTGTCACATTGATATGCATCATGGAAGACTTGTTGGTAAACAATAATTTTTTTTTCACAATTTTGGATATTTACTTAGAGAATTTTTTAACTTCACAGGTGGAATATTCACTATGACTGGGGATGTTCTTCCTTGTTTTGATGCCTCAACCATGATCCTACCAGAGGATGCATCCTGTATCATCACAGTTCCCATCACCCTTGATATTGCATCTAACCATGGTGTTATCGTGGCAGCTAAAACTGGGATTTTCACTGAAAATTATACTCTTAGTTTAGTTAACAGTCTTCTGCAGAAACCAAGTTTAGAGGAGCTTGTCAGGAATAATGCAATTCTAGATGATGGTAGGACGCTGCTTGATACAGGAATAATAGCAGTTAGAGGGAAAGCATGGGTTGAACTTGTTACTCTTTCCTGTTCCTGCCAACCAATGATTTCAGCGCTACTAAAAAGCAGAAAAGAGGTAGGTTACTGCCTTTCAGTTGGCAATGCTATTTCTTGGATCGAAATCAAATTATATTATTCCAATGTTTGTTAACTGTATCCGCTTATTCTAAACAGTTTCATAACACATTATCTCTGAGTTGGAACTTCTAACTTTTAGTTAAGAAATACAAAATAGCTATTTAATTTTTGGTGTAAAGTCTCTTACATGGGTTTTATAAGTAAGGTTATTGGATCTTGTTATAAACATTCATCTTACACTGACAGTTTCCAATATTGGAATCCTTGTAGATGAGCTTATATGAAGATCTGGTGGCGGCTTGGGTACCAGCAAAACATAACTGGTTGAGACTACGCCCTTTGGGTGAAGAACTGGTCAGCAAATTGGGAAAACAGAGGATGTTCAGCTATTGTGCATGTATGCTAAACACGGTTTGAAGAATCAAATCTTGTTATTCTTCTGTTTTCCCGTACTATATTTGGAGATTCCTTTTAGTGATGTTGTCCTTGCTTGATTATTTCACTGCAGATGAATTGTTGTTTCTACATTTTGGAACCTCAAGTGAAGTTTTGGATCACCTAAGTGGAGCTAGTTCAGGACTTGTAGGTCGAAGACACTTATGTTCCATCCCAGCAACCACTGTGTCTGACATTTCAGCATCTGCTGTTGTTCTTTCTAGCAAAATTGCACATGGTGCCTCCATTGGGGAAGATTCTCTTATATATGATTCTAACATTTCAAGTGGAATACAAATTGGTTCCCAATCTATAGTTGTGGGTATTAATTTCCCGGAAGACACTGGTGTAAAAGCAGAAGGTTCATTTAGGTTCATGCTTCCTGATCGCCATTGTCTTTGGGAGGTTCCCTTAGTAGGATGCACTGAAAGAGTACTTGTGTTTTGTGGCCTCCATGATAACCCAAAAAATTCACTTTCCAAGGATGGCACGTTTTGTGGGAAACCTTGGGAGAAGGTTTTGCATGATTTAAGCATTCAGGAAAGTGACCTGTGGAGCTCAACAGGTGGTCAGGAAAACTGCTTATGGAATGCAAAAATATTTCCAATTCTTTCTTACTTTGAGATGCTGAGCTTGGCAACTTGGTTGATGGGCTTGAGTGACCAAAAAACTGAATTCTTGCTTCCCTTATGGAAAAAATCATGTCGTGTCAGTTTGGAGGAGTTGCATAGGTCAATCGACTTTTCAGAAATGTGTACTGGGTCCAGTAATCATCAAGCAGATCTTGCAGCTGGAATTGCCAAAGCTTGCATTAATTATGGCATGCTTGGACGCAACTTAAATCAATTGTGTGAAGAAATTCTTCAAAAAGAACTGTCAGGAGTTGGAATATGTAAGGACTTCCTCAACCTATGTCCCAAACTTCTGGAGCAGAACTCTATGATTCTTCCCAAAAGTCGGGCATATCAGGTGCAAGTTGATCTGCTCCGAGCATGCAAAGATGAGATAAAAGCTTGTGAGTTGGAGCATGAAGTTTGGGCTGCAGTTGCTGATGAAACTGCTTCGGCTGTGAGATATGGATTTAGAGGTAGGTCAGATGCTCATACTTTAAGTAGTGTCATGCTCATAAAATACTAAAAGTTTGATGAAAATAAGCTACAAAAGAGTGGCCAATCTTAATTTTCACGTGTAATTAATCATCATTACTTATAGGACATAGTTTTAGAAGCCCCTCTTTTTTTTTTTTTTTTATTGTTTATTTTTATGTTCTGCAGACCACCTCTTAGAGGCTCCTAGCAGGGCTGCTCTAGCATGTCAGAACAAAGACATTGATGACTGCATGAATCAGTCCTTCCACCAGAAAACAGTGAAGGTTGAGTTACCGGTTCGTGTAGATTTTGTTGGTGGTTGGAGTGACACCCCTCCCTGGAGCTTAGAGCGTGCTGGTTATGTCCTTAATATGGCTATAAGTTTGGAAGGTTCTCTTCCAATTGGGACAATCATAGAGACAACCAAAGAGAATGGAGTATTGATCAGCGATGATACTGGAAATGAGTTAAATATTGAAGATTGCACCTCTATTGCTACTCCCTTTGACCACAATGATCCATTTCGGCTTGTCAAATCAGCATTGCTTGTGACTGGCATTGTTCATAAAAACATTCTTGCATCCATGGGCTTGCAGATCAGGACATGGGCCAATGTTCCCCGCGGTAGTGGTTTAGGAACTTCTAGTATCTTAGCAGCTGCTGTTGTGAAAGCACTACTACAGATAACTGATGGAGATCAAAGTAACGAAAATGTTGCACGACTTGTTTTGGTATTAGAGCAGCTCATGGGCACAGGAGGTGGCTGGCAGGATCAAATTGGAGGTTTATACCCAGGAATTAAATTTACTTCAAGTTTCCCTGGAATACCCTTGCGGCTACAAGTCATCCCCCTTTTGGCTTCTCCTCAATTGATTTCGGAGTTGCAGCAGCGATTGCTTGTAGTATTTACTGGCCAAGTAAGCATTCTAGCCTTTCTTTTTCCTTCCACCATTTATTGGGCATTGATTTGGGATTTATTTCTGTAAAATAAAAAATTCAAAGATTTTATTACATTGCAAGACAAGTTCATATATATTGAGCAACGTTTATACTTTGAGTAAAGTTGCTAAATTTGCTTAGAATCTGGGTTACATCTGATGTTAGCCTAACTGCTGAAGTTGATTAGTTGAGGAAGTGGTAAGTGTTATAGCAAATTGTATGAGAATCCCTCCGAAACATGTGTGAGCATGTCTCTTGGAATTTGACCCTACAGTCGCAGTTAGTTTTCCCTCTAGGATGAATCCCCTGCAGTTAATTTGGAAAACCAATAATTGGTTACTGAGGCTTGCATAAGTCCATATTGCTCTTGATTTTGAGTAGAAGACTTGGGAGTTCTAATCCATTATCCCAATTCTTCATTACTTACCCACCATAAAAGTACATAAATATTTAGTTAATGAAAATATGACTTAATTCTCACTGTTTTCTATGCCATAATCATTTAGTAGTTAACATTATCATGTCTGTCATGGATGCTAGACTTGTGAAATGTTCTTTGTTGTTTACGCCTAGTCGTAGAGAGAAACTAGGGTTTCTACAAGGCAATAGTTTTAAATTTATTGCACTGCCATTTACTTGATTATATATATGAACTTGAACTATGATGCTATTTGTTCTAGTATTTATGTGTTAGACTTGCCTATGATGAAATCTACAACTGCTTTGCAGGTCCGACTTGCACATCAAGTGCTACAAAAGGTTGTAACTCGATATCTTCAGCGGGATAACCTTCTTATATCCAGTATCAAGCGACTGGCTGAACTGGCAAAGATTGGGAGAGAAGCTTTAATGAACTGTGACATAGATGAGCTAGGCGATATAATGTTGGAAGCTTGGAGGCTGCATCAGGAACTGGATCCTTATTGCAGCAACGAAGTTGTTGATAGATTGTTTTCGTTTGCCGACCCCTACTGTTGTGGATATAAGCTAGTGGGTGCCGGTGGTGGGGGCTTTGCATTATTACTAGCCAAGAATGCTGAGTCTGCAGTGAAACTAAGACACGGGCTAGAAGATTCGAAGTTTGACGTGAAACTATACAATTGGAACATCATCTTAGAATCTTAGAAGCGTATTTGTATGTAGATATGTTATAAGGAGATTGCTCATTATTTATTCTCTTATGGACCCAAAATATTCTTTATTGTAGGTCATGTTGATCTTTGAAGTCATTGTTATGCAAGTATTGTAAGGCACGATTAATAAAATTCAGCAGCCTGCTTTTGTCTGTAGATGTTGCTTTATGTTGATAAATGGTAAGTTCACAGGCAACGGTTTAACTAAGATTTAAAGAGGAGGAGACGCAATAACTTTCTTGTTGAAATGATGCCTGACAAGTAGGCCCAAGCATATCTTGCTATAATGGCAAAGAATCCAAAGCGCTTTGGATGGCATTTTCACCGACAAAATTAGCATTGCCTTTGCCTCATCAATAATTATGAACATCCTGAAATTTGGATTTGCCGTAATTAACGATAATGCCGATCAGCCGTCGATCAATTACTGTAATAAAACGATGACCTAAACCTGGTCCCCTTTCAAGCTCTGGAACACCGTAAAATTCCAGTCTTACCCTCCAGTCTTCCCGAGTCAAGAGAACAAAACGAATAAGGTGAAGTAAGCATGCAGATCCATTCATCACAATTTCTTTATGATTATGACCGTTTAAAAAATAAATCCAAAAAATTGATATCAATAGGTGACAGTTGTTGAACTGACTGCTCGGTCAGCCACTGATATGTCGCCACATCAATGTAATTATACTTTTTAATTGAGCCCTAATTATGTGGGGTCAATTTTTGCTTTACCAAAAACAAGAAATAGTGCTGACTTCAACTGGATTTGCTTGCTACAGAGAATATAGAGTAGAGGCAGAGAGAGAGAGAGAGAGAGGAGAGGAGAGATGGGTTTGCTCACAAACAAAGTAGAGAGAAATGAAATCAAGGCGGGCGATCATATCTACACTTACAGAGCTGTTTTCACCTACTCTCACCATGGTATATCTATTTTTTGCTCTGTGTGTTTGCGTTTGTGTTTGTGTTTTGACTAACTAATTACAATCTTCTTAGATTATTGCGAAATTTTGCAATGTGGGTTCTTCATGTAATGCTCCTTTCTGGGTTTTGTATTTAGTTTTTTATTTCCCATAATTTTGGCTCCACCATTTTGTTTAATTCATTTTTTCTTTTTGTATTTCCACCTTTTAAACTTATTTTCCCCAGTTCATTGTGTTTTGTTTTATAACGTCTGTCTGCAAGGACGTTCTTTCTTTCAACTCCTGTTATGCAGATTATTAACTTGCTTTTTTTTTTTTTTTTTTTTTTTTTCCTAGCTGAATTGGCTTCCACCGCTTCGCATAATTAAATAAAGAGGGCAATTAAATAAAATAAAGATGAAATGAAAATGCAAAATGCAAAATAATATTAAATAAAATTTCGCTATAATATCTAAAAGGGCCTACAGATTCAAGACTTTGTCCATGTTGGTTTTTACTTATGCTGATTATTGAGATCCTTGGAGTTGACTGAGAAAGTAAAACATCTGTGATCTGTACAGTCCATGTGGATCTTCTAGTATTCAAGTTTGGTCGCTGAGATAGGGTAAGAAAACATAAGAAAAGAAAATTTGGAATTTAGTTAATTCTGTATTGCTGGGGACTTGGGAAAGAGAAACCTCCTTTATGAGCGTGCCTTGTACAAGTAATTGGGCTGGTTAAGTTTTCGTATTTTGTAGATATAAGATTCAGATAATGAAAGATAAGTGTTCAAAAGTTTTAGTATAATTAATGATCTTTAAATTCAGTAGTCCAGTTTCATTTTTCCACGTTTTTGCATCAGTGTTCCTAATTTACAGATCCTGGCTGGTTTTTGTTGGTGCTTCGTCTCCACACTGTCTTGATATAGGAGACTGGCTCTTAGTAGCATCTGTTAAAAGTAGATGTTGTTTTATACTGTATTATTGGATGTAAATGTAATTGGAGTGTAAATGCATTTGGCTGACTGATAAAAATTGGTTTCCTTTTGAACAAGTTTCATTCTCTGGTTGGAGATCAAACTTAATCATGAGTTGTGTTGGATACCGGACCATACAGGTATCTATGTCGGGGGAAGCAAAGTGGTTCATTTTAGACCTGAATGGAACTTAAATTCAAACCAGGAGACATCTGATTCACATGATCCAATGTCGATCGCTCCACCATCCTGCCCAACTTTTCCTGATTGTGGATTCAGGCAACCTAACAGTGGAGTAGTCCTGTCTTGCCTTGACTGTTTTCTTGGAAATGGATCACTTTATTGCTTTGAATATGGAGTTGCCCCGTCAATTTTTCTTTCCAAAGTACGTGGTGGCACTTGCACAACTGCAAAAGCTGACCCACCCGAATCTATTATCCATCGAGCTATGTATCTTCTTCAAAATGGTTTTGGTAATTACGATGTGTTTCAAAACAACTGTGAGGACTTTGCGCTGTACTGCAAAACAGGTCTTCTGATTGTAGACAAGCTGGGGGTTGGAAGAAGTGGTCAAGCTTCTTCTGTGATTGGTGCCCCAGTGGCTGCCATTCTTTCTTCTCCACTGAAGTTGCTGATGCCAAGTCCTGTCGGTGTGGCAGCAGTTACTGCTGGCATGTACTGTATGAGTAGGTATGCAACTGATATTGGTGTTCGCTCTGATGTGATCAAGGTAGCAGTGGAGGACTTGGCTGTGAATCTGGGCTGGCTTCACCATCATGAGGAAACAGATGAAAACAATGAAGCTTCTAACAGACAGATATCCCAGGTGATATGAGTTCCATCATTGTGCATGTAGAACGGCGTACATATACTATTTGTTACCAGCGTAATAAGCATTTTATGTCATTGATAAGTGAAATTATGATGTTGGGTGTTTGTTAGGTGCTAAAGGGCCAACAGCTCTTATCAAATAGGAAAGATCAGTGTACTCCTCCTATCTCTCCCTTTCTCTTTTCTTAACGTTATTCTACAACTGCATTTGGTTGTTTAAGTTCTGTATCAAGTGTTCAAAAACTTAGTGTGATTGTGGTTTAAATAAAGTCGGGCATTTGGTGCTTTGTTGTTAAACATAATTTCTGTTTTGATCTTATAATGGTGTCCCATAGTGAAAGACATTAGTTATTCACTTTCAAATTGAAATGGTATGCCAAGTAGTTCAAGCAATACCTGTTCTTTAGAGATGCAATATCATACTATCTGTTTGAGAAATAGAAATGGTGAATTAGCAAAGTATGTAAAGAGAGAAGATTAGATAGTATTTATAGCATAGAACTTGTTGGAATGAAAGCCTAACATGCTCCGTTCAAGGGCAGTGTATTGTAGAAGGGTTCAGGCTGAAGCTTATTGTTCCTTGAGTAGAAAACTTTTCTCAGTTTTTCTCAAACTGATACATTGACATTGCCAATATCACTATTTAGAGACAATCTTTCGGAATCTAGTTTCTAGAGTTTTCCAGATCAAAATATTTCCCATGCATATAGGAGTACTTCATGTTAGTTGAAGGATGACGAGGAACGCAATTTGGAAACTTTATCTCAAAGCACTCTTGAATCTGCCCAATGTCATTAAACAAAATTTCTTATCTGAAAGTTCAAAATTTGATACAAAATTTCAGTCGTATATTCTGTTTTGTTCCTTTTTTTTCTTTTGTTGTATAGCGTTTAGAAGTGAATGGGATCCACCAAGAATTAAATTAATTAATGCCGCCTCTATAGCAACGTGAAGTCGTAGAGATCGAGAACAAGATTGTAGAAACTAAGTTAAGCCATGAAAAGTACGATAATACAACATAATAACATATACAGCGGAGATTACATAGTGTGGACCGCATAATCCAAGTTGGTGCATTGCGTGGTGTAATGTATTAACTTTATAACCCAAAACAAACAATCTATTTCTTTAACCTGCAATCCTTACTGTACTTATTAATCATAAGTAAGAATGTAAGATGGTACAATAAACACAACATGTTAATTTACACGAGACTAGGTGATAAAGTTGGTGTGTTTCTTAGGAGAGAAAAAAGGCCTCTCTGGATTTTTTCCAATTTCTAGAAAGCTACTCACGATAAACTTGAACCTTTCGTGGGGATCATCACGCTCTCAAGATCTTGGTTACTACCTGGAGTGAGCTCCGTAATGGAGTGCTTATGTTTGGGCTTCTTGTCAGCAACGGGCTTGAATTCTGCAAGGGTAGCCAATTCATCAACTGCTTTGACAATTCCTTCTAGTTTTGCTGCATTTTCAATCAACAAAGAAACTAAAGTGACCAACGGAAGGATCTCCGTGAAGGGTGTTATAGTGATTTTTCTGATGGGCTCTGCACTGGCATCTCCCGAAGCTTCCACAGTTGATGATGGAGATGTTAAAACGTGGTTAGGAAGAGATTTCAAGGCATTTTTTAGTTCTTGTACTGCAAAATTCATCTCTGCAACCAAGATGTCAATTTTAGATGATTTTGTCATTGTTTTCATCGTAATGCCTAATTCTTCCAAGACAATCGAGGAAGTGCTACGCAATCTTAGACACTTATTTTTCAAATGCTTCTTATGGTGGGGAGGAGCCTGCGGCCAAAATGATAAAGATCAGTTCCTGGACTTCTATCGACCAAGGTTAAAATGTCAAAGATTCATAAAAGGATATGATTTTCATTTGAGTTCAATCTTAACAGAGAAATTAATCTGAAATTTTAAGCTATCAGGAAGGACAAAAAATAAAAAAGACTTCACATGAAACTTTCTGACATTCCTCTTAACAAATATATGAAGTACACAACTAAATTAAAATAATATTTACTCGTAAACTCATATTTCTGTGAAATTTAATGGTTTACCTGAATTTTTGAATTTACACAACCATTGAGGGTCTCGATACAATAAGCGCAGTTACGCATGGAAGCCCCAATCTTAAGATACTGTTTCCATGGATGTCTGAAGTTGAAACGGCCATGTGCTGGTTCCCATCTTGCAAAGTTGGCCTGCAGATTTATATCAATCAAATGAAAACTTAAGTAGTCGGTATAACAAATATAATTATGATCAACTGGAAACAAATTAATTATAAAAAACCTAGATCTACCATTGATTCTTCTGTTGCCTTTGAATTAAGCACACATTTATAGCCTTGTATTTTCTTGTTACAATCTTCATCGCTGGCTCTTGAAGTTCTGTCATCTCTGAAGTACTCGGTTACACACTCTGCAATATTCAACAGAGAAAAACCCATGACATCATATACTTGGTTTTAAAGAATATGGGAAACTTGAAATTATATATACATACCATCCAAGGAATAGGCTAGTTTTTCGAAGTTTCGACAAATAAGTTGGTGAAGCTCAGTTCCTGCCCAAATGGGACAGAAAAGCATGGTTATAAAAATGCACATGGAGGTTCCAAAGGCTATCGTGGATAGTCTTTGGCGAGCCATTTCAAGTAATTTCTCCTCTCGATAACCGGATATTGATATAAAGCTGAAGGTAAGGATGAAGATCATGGCACCGTAGTCAAATCTGGCTTTAATGGATGGAATAAATCGAGAGAAGGTTGCTGCTGAAGCTGGAAAGAAGAGGATCCCTATTAGTATATATAAAAAAAACATGTGTGGAGAATATTATCAAAAGAAGTTAATTTATTCACTTAACTTACCTAAAAGAAAAACTGAGATTCCAAGAATTACAGGCTCGAAGTTTTTTCCCGAATGACTAGCAATCCAGTGAATACTAACACCAAGCGATCCAGCGATAAAGGTTCCTGTCACTCTATTGATGCATTTATAAAATGTTGCACCTGCAGTGAAATTAAACAGTGAATATTTAGTATTTGAATTTCATGGCCAATTAACCACTGCATGATCAAGTATAGTAACATGCATAGAGAGGTCTCATGACAAAGATCCGAGAAAGTGAAATAATTGAAGTTGAATACCAACCTATAGTGGACTCAAAAACTACCACTACGGTCATAATTGCCCACATAGCATTCCCTCCCACACCTTCATACAAAGGCCTCATATAATAAAACAGTGAAACAATCGAAATGGACAATCCTACTTTAACACCATGGATGACTTTCTTAGGGTCAGCAACACCTACATCCCAAGCCTTCTTCAAAAACTTCCAAATTTTCATAACCAATCCTTCTAACAGACTCTTCAACCCCAACCAGACTCTAAGGACTGCCCCAGATTCTGACTCTAATCCTTCTGATGTTCCATCAGGTACATTTATTCTCCATTCCAGTTTGCTTGGCAATTCCTTCCCCATTGTCAAATGTTAAGCAACAGGATAACAAGAGGGTCAAAATAGATTGTTGATACAAGATGGATGACGGGTTTTATATATAAATAGTTGTGTTCGGGAGATTGTTATAGAGACTCAGAAGAGTTCCTTGCTGTATTGTACGTGTTATGGAGACTCTGGTATCTTTTTATAAGAAGTGATAAACTAAGCTTTCAAGGTTTTCTGTTGATAACTAATCGACTAGGTTGTTGTGAACAACAATTGTCACTGGCCATGCATATATATATATATATGGCAGTAGTCTTTGGTTACTTAAGATTGATCATGGCGACATATGGAGGGAAGCGCGCGCAAGAAAGGTTAGAAGATTATGGTAGGTAATAGTGTACACTTGTGAGAATATTAATGGGTGGGTCGGTGAATAGAGCATGAATTAAGTAATAAAATCAAAGGACAGATATGCTCGTGCTTCTGTCCCTTTCGATAAGTGGATCACACACAAACATCATCTCACTTCCCATGAATAAGCGAAGCTCAATTTCGTGCGTGGTACTCTACGTACTTATCAAAAGCATGTAATTAATGGTTGATTTTCCTTTTTGTTTTTGGTTTTTTTCTGATCTCTTGATACTTGAACTACTGTCAATCCTGGCTTATGCTAAACTCAAAACGACCAATTAATTAATAAACATGGCACACTGAACTGAAGTTAATGAATCATATTATACATATAATAAGAAAATCTTAATTATAAGGAATGACATGCGTCTTCTTCAGCAAGCGCAACTTGAATTATAATATTATTCCAGTTTCCTACTGCAGTGAACTAAACAAACTTGCAAATCTGGTGTGGCAAACAGTTAATTGGTGAGAGGTCGAGAGAACCTAATTTCTGGTCCCCTCTCTCAGTTGTGAGACCTAATTTCAGGGGATTTTAGTGCGTGTAGATTTTAGTGGAAATAATGCTGTACTTGTCTTTATAGCTTATCACTATACTGTAAGATGAATTATTTTAATGTCCTTAACTTTAATCATCAATGAGTGTTGATTGTCAAAATTAGGTCACGACGTTAATTAAAACTTTCTTACTTTTAATGGATTCTTAGTCAACTGATTTAATTTGATGAATAATACTAATTTGATACATAGTTACGTGTGTTGAAAGGCATGCAGCAGCGTAAGTGTCATCAACGCACAAATGAATTATTGGTGCAAATAGGTCCTGTGGGTGGGTTCCCCATGAATTGCCCAAATTAAATGGGCCTAAATGTTGGAGGCCCAATTAGTGACGTTGTGCTTGCTAGCACGTTGCTGTTCGTTCTAGTTATTATTATCATCGCCGTAGTAGGAATAATGAATATTGGATAGGAGCTTTCATTTGAAACGCCACGCCATCACCGTCATCATTGAAACTAGTTGATTTGGATTGGATTCCAAGAAATAAACATCGCAAATATCGACCTATTACTCCTACTGAAATAGAATCTTCAAATCCAATCAAACAGAGCAGAGATTGATTAGGGTTTTCAATTTTTAAAAAGAAAAATTAGAAATAAAATATCATATGATGGCGAATCTGTATGTCAAGGCGACGCCACCCCCGGATCTGAATAGAAACACTGAGTGGTTCACGTATCCAGGTGTATGGACCACCTATATACTCATACTATTCTTCTCCTGGCTAACCGTTCTCTCTGTTTTCGGTTGCTCTCCTGGCATGGCCTGGACCATCGTCAACCTCGCCCATTTTCTTGTACGGTTTATTTTCGATTCCTGTTAGCTACTAACTCTTTTCTTATTCCTTCTTTTGTATTTAATTTTTGAATCAATTGTTTTATTTGTTAGGTTTACTTTCGGATTGGATTTTGAAGGTTTGGATTTTTAGGGTATTAAAATTGAATGTTCTAGTTGGGTTGGGTTAGGTTGGTGTATGGTTGAGTGAATAGAGTTAAGCGTTGTTGCAATATGTTCGTTTGGAGGAGTGGATTTTGTCATTTTTATTTTCTATGGTTATTGTTTTTAGTGAATTAGGATTTAATTATGTTCTGCCTTTTAGATTCCTCATAATGAAGGAAGACTTGTAACCTTAGCTAAGTCAATTAGCTTCATTATATTATAGTTTGATTGAGAAATTTTGTTTTCTCACTTATCGAATATGGGACCAGAGTACCAAATGAAGCACTAGGGTCCCTGTTCCAAGGCTTCTATTACAGATTGAAGAGATGGACATCTTATTTTGCATTTTGACTGTTACTGTCTTATAGAACTAGTGAGATTGAGTGAATTTAGTGTTTGGTAATTCAATATATCTAATAAATGATTATTTTTTCTGTAAGAATTATGTTTTATAAGTTGTAAGTTTACTGTTCTGTCTATATTTTTCTATTTGAATTGGCAGCTGGATTGAATATACTCTTAGTGGATTAAAATTTATCGTGGCAAAGATTATTTTGCTGTCTGGTATCATCTTCATGAATCTTGTTTCAGCTCTTTATTTTATCACGGGGTATTCTCTTGCAGAGGACATTATTTGACTGTATTCCCTGTGGTTAACCTTGTGGAGCTGTTAATATTTCATAATTTTTTTTTTTTTTTTAAGATTTGTTACACTGTAACCTATATTATAGGTGCTGTTTCAATTTTTTTTATTGTACTCCCTTAGGACAAGAGTAGAGTTCCAGTTTAAAATCCTACTGTTTTTTATGGCTTGTTCATCATTTGTTGTGTATGATTTTCCATGGGCTTCTCATGGACTAATTAGCTTATAGCATCTTAGGAGTTTGGTTCTTGAGGTGAATGGCATGTTTTCATCATAAGGAAAAGCCAGAAAGGTTTTGTTTTTAGTTTATTCAGCCATCCATTTGAGTCTTGTTAATGGTGCCAAGTCCACTAAGTTTCCTCTAGCCTCGGGTATGTTGCATGCAACATTTGAATTTTAAATTTTCACAAACAAATTTTCATGTCAAATATGGCATGGCATAAATGTGGCAGTGATTTTGCATTATAGTGTTGCATCCTCATCTTATTTGAATNATGAAACTATATAAAAATAGGTAATAAATAAAATTAGATTAAATATAATAAATCATTATAAATATTTGTAATATATATATATTATACATAATATGTTAATGTTATGAAACAAAAGTTATACATTCGACATTATATATTATACATTATATATGGTATATATTTGACATTATACATTATACATTATATATGGTATACATTTGACATTATACATTATACATTGTATATTATATATGGTATATACTATATAAATATAATGTATATAACATATGTATATATTAGGGGTGTTCGTAAGAACCTGTAGGAACCAGAGCCATTGGGTACCTGGGGTTTGGTTTTGGTTCCTACCCAGAACCGATCGTCAATGGGTACGTTGTGGTTCCAAAAATCTGGAATCGATGCTGTACGGTTCCGGTTCCTACAGTCAAGAACTGGAATCGAAACCGAGAACCAAGACTGAAATGAAATGTTATTAAAGAGTGGGGGGTTATTGTAATTTACTTGCCACATATAAAAACTTCAGATTAGGACAAAAAAATTCATTTTCTTTCTTCCCTTCTCATGATCTTCGTCTGCTCTTGCTCTCTGTCCACTCACTTCAAATTAAGGCAAAAACTTCAGCTTTTTTTTCTTTGCAAAAAAATTCATTTTCTTTCTTCCTGTCTCACGATCTTCATCTGCTCTTGCTCTCTGTCCACTCACTTCAGATTAAGGCAAAAACTTCAGCTTTTTTTTTCTGTTAATTTGTTTGGTTTTGTGAAGCGTGATCCTTGGAATCTAGAAGAAGACACTAAAGCACTCCAATTTCTTAAGGTAATTTTCATTTCTTTCTTTTAATTTTATTTTTGAATTTTATTTGACTATAAATGAACTCTATATCACACAATACCCAACCTGTGATGTGTATACTGAGTAATTATTGTGTATAAAGTCGTTATCAAGTTAGCTGCGGGTTTATTTGTGATGGATTTGATTTTATATATCTATTCATTTTTCTTATCATAGTGATATTTGAAAATCCTTAGCATTGTTTCGGTTTGTGAACGTCTCTGATTTGATGTTGCTGTTACTTTTGGTGATATCATAGATAAAATTGAAAACCCTGCCTTCTTTTGCTCTGTGTGTCGACAAATGCATAGTTGATGTTGTGGCGCCTACATTTGTGCTGGTGTGTGTAGTGTTTTAACTTGATCTACAGATCTAGAGTAACTTCATTTCTGCTTTAATTTGAATTCTAAACAGTTTTCAGTTGCACACATTTTACATAGAAATTCCCTCAATGTTCGTAGTGCCTTGTTTATTTTCATAACCTTTAAAGTCCACTGTTTTAAGACTTTTCATGCAGTGGTAGGTTAAGATTAATCACCTCTTTTTAATCGTGGTATCAGCTATGCATTCTTACATGATAAGAACGAAATGGGAGGCATTAAGGAAATTTGCATCCATGATTGTTTGTATTATTCACAACACTGATAAACACTTTATGTGCCTTTGTGCTAATTATCTACTTTTGCCGATAAATATAAGGTGGTGGACAATTTGTTTTCATTCTAACTGATGTGGGATGCCACCTCAGTTACCTGACAAAATCATTGCATATGCTTCCTTTGGGTCCACATTACACCAACCTGGCTTGCTAACATTTGTCGTGTAAATGTTGTCCTAAGTGAGGAATCTGCATGTACTTACTTCACTTGAAAGCCACATGCCTCAGCAACAGAGATTCTGGTGTTCTGGTGTTGAAACAACCCATCTCCCATATGGTTGTTCTGGTGTTTTAAGGTAATTGCAGTCCAACTGGATATCCCTGTTTATTTTGGTTAATAAAGATTCTTCTTTTCATAACGTAATGGGTCCTTGTTTATTTTGTCAAACTTCCAGTTAAGCAACACCAGTACTTCTTCTTATCAAACAACCTCAACTATTTGTTTCTTTGTATCCATAGATATCCCTTTCAATAATTCAACTTCTTTTTTTAACAGTGCCCTTATATATATATGCTGGATGCATGTCTTGGATCTGTTTTCTTTCTTTCTCAAAGGAGAGAATTAGCAAGATTTTACAGATAGCATATTCTGAATATTATAACAACATCAGATTTAATAAATTATCCCTGATTCATTTGGTTTGGTATTGGTGGGGTGCATGCATGTCTAAAATTCTTTCTTGATCACTTTCGGAGTTCTTTAAGTACACCCATTGTGGAAGCATTAGTTTGTGCACAAGATTGGTTGAGATATGCATATACCTCAACTACTTTTGAGGATTACTTGATGGATGCAGAAAGTTATGACTCAAGTAACAAAATAATATCAATATTTTATATTCATATTTAGTTAATTTATTCCCAAATTATTGTGTTCAATACTTTGAACTTACTAATTAATTTTCTTGTATTTGTTTTGTAGAAATTAATGCACATGAGGCAAGCAATTTAGAGCATGGAGCATGACATATTTTTAGTTTTTCATATTTGGATGTTGTTAATTGTTATGTTAGTTATTTTATATGTTATGTAATTTCATCGTTTTAGTCTTGGAGTTTATGAATTTGTGATTTTCAATGGATTATTGTAATATTTTAATTTTGAATTTGTGATTTTCAATGGATTATTTTAATTTTGGAGTTTGAAATTTGAAATTTATAATTTAATTTTGTTAACGAGTGCCAAATGTGGGGTATTTGTAAGTTTTTAAGAGTTTTTTTTGTCATTTTAAAAGCTTTTTTTTTTTTTGGGGGGGGGGGGGGGTAATGACAGGGTACCCAGAACCAGAATCAGAATATCTAGGAATCGGAACCATCAGTTCCGGTTCCAAAATTTAAGGAACCGTCGGTTCTGGTTCTTTCCAAAAGTGTAGGTTACTTGGAACCGAACACCCCTAATATATATTGTACATTATAATTTATATATAATATGCTATTATCTATAATCTTACATTAATACATAATATATATGTAATATATTATTTGTTGTTTTGATTGATTATAATGAATCAATAAATCACTATAATTTTTTTTTTTGGTCCCTCATTGAATAATTATTTCAATTCTATTATCTAATTGTCCTTGTTATATTGTGACAGCTATTTATTTAGAATTTATTATACTATATATGGTAGTTATTTATTTAAAATTTATTGTAATATATATGTATAATGTATCATATATGATACATTATTTATTAAAGAGACATTATATATGTATACTTATTACTTAATACAATAATACATAATATTATACTGTTAATATATAATATATTTATATATATGTATAATGTATTATAATTATCATTTTGATATTTGGAATCATTATAATCATTAATTTTTTTTAGTATTTTGATATTTGTAATATATTATCAATTTAGTATGATAGTTTTTATATTTAATATGTGCATTATAGATTTGATTTCTTTTTTGATTATATGGTATTTACGTTTAATATGTATATTTTATATTTATTTATTTATTTATTTTTTGGTTAGTATATATAATTTGGAAAAAAAGATAATAAAACTAAGGATACAAAAATACAAAAAAACCGCCCAAACGAGGAATTCGAGGACCTGTTTAGGGAATGGGTTTTTTTCGGGGATTCTCAGAATTCCCTGAACGGGCTTTGGGCCGAGATTGGGGAATCCCGTTGGGCTTCCGGGCCGAGGCCAGAGATAGGGGTCCCTGGCCCCGCCCCGACCCATGCCCATCGCTACACAAGACATGTTTCATACACAATCATATCAGTTCAGTTTAAGGTTACATATACACTACACGATTAGCTCTTCTACTGTGAGGATATTATTAAATTACATGTACATGTGCAATAACAAAATTAAGTCATCATTTACACAGTAGTCTCCAATTTGCTGCATAATAACCAGAAAAAAAAAAAAATTCAGATTTACATTGGATGATTTTACTCCTGTGTCATCAGAAAAAAACTAGCCATTGCAATTGAAAACTATCAGAAATGGTAAAAAATTGGTTGAATGACAAAATGAAATACAAGTGTGCTTGCATAGATCAATTCTCCTAAAAGAATTATTTACTCTCTGTCCCAACAATAAGCTGAAAAGACTCATGAAGGTCAAGAGCACATCGTGTTGCACAAAAAATTTGGCTTTTTGTCCGTGACTTGCTCAGAGTAGGAGGTTTCTTGAACTGTATCACATCGATGTCTCTATAACTTCCATGAGTCGGTTTGTCGCCTTATGCAGGAATAGATTTGTTAATGCGTGATTTTGATACCAACGAAACATATGTGTGAAATGTTGAATTGGCCCCCAAAAGACACACATGAATGGCTTGAAAAGATGAAAATAAATGTAGTGAGAAAGGGGTTTTAAAGTAGTTCGGATGCTAAGGAAGCAAATCCTACGTCCACTGATGTTTTTATTAATGATAAGGGTCAGGTCGCTTTAGACGACTGACTTTACACTGATAATACAAGGTATTGAAGGCTGTCTTTTCTAGGGAGAGAGAAAGAGCTTTTTTCTTTTCTGTAAGATTAAAATGCGTGAATCCCTTTAATGAGAGAGGAGCTCCAATTTTATAGTGGGATGTCTTGAGGTAATCATCATTGAATCTGCAAGTTGGTGGGATGATCCGTGCAAATCCTTCGTTTAGAGTAATTCACGTGATTTGTTGCAGGGGCTGGACACGCGGGGTCATCACAACTCCTCACTAGCCTGACGTGCACCCATTACTCTGATGGAAGCAAGCTGTGGGTGCCACCATGATCACACGAAGCAGTTGCGTCAGTAGGCTCTTCCCGAGGCCTGACCTTGCGCACTTAACTGGATGCCACATCAGCCCTAAGTTCCCAGGCGTAACAAGATTATCAAGAACTATTTGGTGAATAATTTCAACCTCTACAGTACCATACAATGATGTTGGACAATGTTATTTAAAAACATTTCAAATTGAAATATTCAATCTTATAAACAGAAGATAACAATAAAAAATTATTGTAATCTTCAGGCTTTTAAGAATTCACATTTTTTATTTACTTTGACAAGTTCAGATATGGATAAATTTGTTACAATCTCAAGAAAATAATTTTCTATTAAGCCACTGTTGTTCCAAGTAGTATCAATAATGATGTTTTGCCTGCAACTTGTAGTTGATGAGCTATCAAGATTAGTTACTCCACTTTGAAATATACTCCATTATTTGGTAGTAAAAAAATCTGGCACTTAAATTTTTCTTTTTACAGAAATCTCACTTGAAGAAGTCTTTTGAAAGAGTCTCCTCCACAGATCATGTAGGAAATTTACTTCCCTTTCTTTTAGGTTAAGGTCATTGCTTAACTCAAGTCACATTAATTTATTTTACAAGTATATTTGCAATTGAAATTTCGCAAGCACATCATAATGAATATACATGATAGGAAAATTTCAGTAAAAATAATATGATGATATCCGGATGCAATCGTGCCTATTCAATTCTTTTTCTCATTGAAGTCTTTCTCAAGATTTTCCCATCAGATCAGGCCGGCAATGAACTTTCTGCCTGCTGCAGCTGTAGTTGAAATTTATAGGCTAAGGCCAATATCTAACATGCTCGAATTAATTTAAAATTACAATTGGAAGTTGAAGATTCTACAAGTGATGCTTCGTAATATTTTCCAATTATAGTAACATTTAAGATAAATAATATACTCATCTCCTCACTGAAAACTGATTCAGTTTTATCCTAACCAAGAAACGAAAATGTTTTTGGGGATTCTAAAGCAATTGATCTTTGCATTACTTGGCATATTAGCCACAACGTCAGTTCTGATTCATGCACAAAATCAAACAGGTTTCAAGAACTCCATCTTTTTTACTCGTAGTTATTCATTATGTATAATGAGTCCCTCTGCTAATTTCTCTTTATTTGTCTCGGTCTCTCAGGTTTTATTAGTATAGATTGTGGAATACCAGAAAATTCACCCTACACTGACAAGGTAACAGGCATAAATTACATTTCGGATGCAGCCATTATAGACACTGGTGAAACCCACAGCATATCACCGGAATACAGGAGTGACACCCTGGAACAACAGTTCTTGAACGTTAGAAGCTTCCCTGAAGGATCAACAACCAACCGAACAATCAGGTAATGATTAGTAATTTTTATATCTCCTGAATTATATATGTTGGTCTTAATTGGTTACTGAATAAAATTATGTTTCAATAAATATAGGTACAAGGATGATGTTTGCGATCGAATATGGTTGCCAATCAACTTTCCCTTCTGGACAATAATAAGCACAACGAAAACTGATCTTCTTGAGAACAAGTTTGATGATGACCAAATACCAACTTAGTGATCTATCTCACTTTCCTAAACTGATGAGCACTGCCGTCACGCCTGTGAATGCTAGCGATCGTTGACAATTTTTTGGGAGGCCAATGAAACTAGATTGTATCATCTATTTCTGCACATTGCTGAAATTGAAGAATTACAAGACAACCAGACTAGAGAATTTAACATCTCTGCAAATGGAAAGGTTTTGTATTGGGAATTTCATCCCTTCTCCTTCTATACAAGATCAGCATATAACTTGTTTCCCTTCAGTGGAACGAGAATTGACATTTCAATGAACAAAACTGAGAATTCAACTCTGCCGCCTATCTTAAACGCCCTTGAGATATACTGGTTAAACGAATTCTCACAATTGGTAACAGAGGAACAAGATGGTATGTTTTCTTTCCTTTTCTCTTCTGGGTTACGATCAATCACTATGGTTTTTTATTTAATCCTTACCAAAATTAATCTGTGTGTAAATGTTAGTTGATGCTATTATGAATATCAAGACAAAGTACGGAGTGAAAATATCAAATTGGCAAGCAGATCCATGTATCCCTAAACTTTTCATCTGGGAAGGTCTCGACTGCAGCTATGATTCTGGACTCCCAAAGATCATATCCCTGTATGTATACACATTTAAATCAAAAGGCATCCTATTTCTTGACCTTGATCGAATATTGTTAACAAAAATTATTGATTGTGTCGCTCAAGCAGAAATTTATCTTCAAGTGGATTGTCCGGGGAGATAAGTCCTTATATACTCGGTCTCACATCGATTCAATCTTTGTAAGCGTCTCAGTCTCACATAAACTTGTAAGTTTGCCAATCTGTGAGTGATAAAAATCCAGTCACCTTAACATTTTCCATCACCATTCCAGGGACTTATCAAACAATAGTTTGACAGGATCAGTGCCTGAGTTTTTTACACAGCTACAATACTTGAGAGTGCTGTAAGTTACTGGACATATGACAGTAAGAAAGGCTAGCTTGTCATAGTTAATTATATAAAAGAGCATCACATTTTAACTGTTGCAGGAACTTGAAAGGAAACAATCTCGAAGGCTCAATTCCAGCTGGACTAAAAGAAAAAGTAGACAAGGGTTTGCTGTTATTAAGGTTTATTTTCAGTCCCAAAAAAAATGTTGAGACTTAGTACACAGCTGGTTTCTAATCATCTTCTGTTGATTCTAGTGTGGATGGAAATTCAAATCCTTGTCCTCCGGGTTCATGCAAAGAGCAAAACAAGTTTAAAATTGTGCCTGTGGTGGCATCAGTTGTTTCCGTTTTGGTAGTTTTAGCTGCAATATTGGCAATTTTGTGGATCCACAGAAGAAGAAAAGGTACCAAAAGTAACAATTCCTTAACAAAAAAAAAAAATTATAATTGAGAATTGATGCTAACTAAGAATTTTTTGCAGTGGGGAAGAAGGGGTCATTGGAGTTAAAAAAAAGAAGGTTCACATACTCAGATTTGGTGAGAATTACAAATAACTTTGAGAGGGTTCTCGGGAAGGGAGGATTTGGAGCAGTCTACCATGGTTACTTGGACAATACTCAAGTAGCTGTTAAGATGCTCTCGGCATCATCAGCTCAAGGATACAAGGAGTTTCAAGCTGAGGTACACAAATTTTTTTGCTATTAAACTATTTTACATATATACTAAGATATGGACTTTTCTGTACAGGTTGAAATTTTACTCGAAGTTCATCATAAAAATTTAACAAGTCTTGTTGGGTATTGTGATGAGGGCAAAAATATTGGACTGATCTATGAGTTCATGGCTAACGGAAACTTAGAAGCACATCTCTCAGGTTTGATAAAATTATTTTCACTTACTACTATATTTCTTTTCATACATATGTCTTGATAACTTATTCAATTTAATTTTTTACGGTTTCGTATACTATCTATTGATCAAATTATGTTGTTTGATGGATATGAAGAAAAAAATGAAAATGTCTTGAAATGGGAAGGGAGACTACGAGTAGCAACAGAGGCTGCACATGGTAAGGAACTACCTGATTATCAATTTTCTTTTCGGTTTCTTTCAGTCTAGACTTCCAAGTGATTTCAAACTTGTATGCATTGAACGCAGGACTCGAGTATCTGCATAGTGGTTGTAGGCAACCCATTGTACACAGAGAATGTGAAGTCTACCAACATCTTATTGAATGAAAAATTTCAGGCAAAATTATCTGATTTTGGCCTTTCCAGAATCTTCCTAGTTGAAAGTGGAACTCAATGTGTTAACAAATAATATTGCTGGAACCCCTCGATATCTTGACCCTGAGTAAGTAGATACATTCTTATGATCTTAAATTGCACAACCGTAAATGAAACAAAGTTAGCTTCATGATCTATTGGAAATTAAGATCAGACATAATCATATCTTAAATTTGGTCCTTCAGGTTCTATATATCAAACAGGTTAACAGAAAAAAGTGATCTGTACAGCTTCGGAGTGGTTCTCTTAGAGATAATTACAGGCAAACCTGTCATTGAAAAATCCCTTGAGAGGACACATATTAGTCAGTCGGTGAATCTCATGCTTACAAAGGGGGACATTAAAAACATTGTTGATCCAAGATTCAAAGGAGATTTTGACATCAACTCTGTCTGGAAAGCTGTAGAAATAGCAATGGCTTGTGTTTCTCGGGATTCCACCAAAAGGCCAACCATGCATCAGGTAGTAATGGAATTAAATGAATCTTTAGCAATTGAGATAGCTCGTGCAAAGGCAGGCAGTAACAATAAATCAAAGGACCATAATGCAGTGATCACTCTGAACCTGAATACTGAATTATCTCCAGTTGCAAGGTAGTGCTTTCTCTATACATGTTATGCACTCATTTCAATGTTTTAATGTGCAGGGTTTTAGATCTTCTTCCAGTTCGGTTATCTTGTACCTCCAGGAAGAAATAAAATTGGAAGAAACTGTACTCCTATTTTGCTTAATGTCTTAAACCACGTTTATTTTCTGTGATATCTAGTATATATGGGCGTCAATGGATCTTTTCTATTCATTAAATCGTAAGGTTAATTGTAGTATATAGCTAGCACACAGATAAATGAAAGCACAGATGATATTAATTTAATGATACCATCAACTAGGAAACATAAAATACGTATCGAACAGAACTGGAACTTTTATGTCAAGAAACAGAGAAGACAACAAAGGATGGTTCTGAAATCTTATTTTTTTTCCCATCTTGAACACCATAATCAGTGTCTAATAAATGAATTTTTAGTCGACGAGATCCTTTCTTGGTCCTGAGTTTCAGTTTCACACAATCAAAATGAACTCAAGCTACCATCCAACTCAAAACAACTGAAGTTGAAACTAATAACTATGAAAAAGAACAGAGTACTCTGTGCTTACTGCCTGACAAAATACAAAACAAAGAAGAACAGACTACTCTGTTGTTACCGTTAAAAATCAACTCTGCCTCTCTCCAGTGGTATGGCAGTGGGCAATGTCCAGAATCTTCTTCCTTGCTCACGCCGCTCGTCATTCTTGAAGGAAAAGAAAATCTCATTGACATGCAGCAAAGATTTTCAGTGCAAGTGGGAGATCTCTCTGGAGAGATTTAGAATTGGTTCTTTACCGACTTAAGCAACTATAAATAGCCCCACTTGGTTCCACTTTGATGATGTGGAAAACACAAGTGTCTAGGTGCTTGTGTATGGCGAGTGCAAGTGAGAGTCTAGTCTGTCTTCAAGTGTCTTGTTTATTGTGTCTAATAATGCAAAGTTATTATTAACTACACGTGCTCAAATCTAACAGTTACATCGATAAATATTAATATTCCTTACTTGGCTTCATTATAGACATTCAAATGTTGCTATCACCAAATAATTCCATGATTGCATGTTTATTCAAGATTCTGTGTTATCGATGAACTTGAATCTCCATACTGAATTTTCTCCCATTCTAAGGTAGTACTTTCACGAAAGATATCCCGCTTCACTATGCATAATTCTCATGTTCTATTTTGTGGAACATACATTAGCATAAGAAAACAGAGCTGCTGCAGTTTTTGAAAGCAGAACAGAGAAGAATGCTGCATTATTTGGTTTTTGACATTTAACTGTTTCACTGATCACCAGCACTAGTTAGCCTTGAAATGCATACAAGGGCCATTTTCGTCACTGCACAATATACATTTTCACAACCAGGGATGCATGTATGAATACGTACGTACTTAAATTCTGTACACATGAAATAAATAACTATAGATATGTGTTTTACTTCTCCAAGTATCTATATATGCAGTATGCTACCTAAAGGAAGTAAAAAAGTTCTGAACTCTAATGAGAAAATGTTTCCTAACAATGGTACCACTAGTTTTTTATGACATGACATGACTCAAAAGTGCAGAAAAGTTGTTCAAAAAATGAAGTAATTAGCCCACTTATCAAAATATAAAGCTCTAAAATCTGTTCGTGGCTAATCTGCGACAAGAAGGTATGATGGCCATTAAGAAGAATTAAAAATGGTGTAATATAAAATTGGCTTGGTATGAAGATGCTTAAATTACCGTTGAAATTCGCCAGAGTATGCTATTTACTGTAAACAAATTGCAGTGAGGTATAATATATGCCTTATAAGTTCAACTGAAATTACCATGCATATTTTTTTCTTAGTCGACTCTAAACAAATTGCAGTGAGGTATCAATTCCCTGATATAGAATTTATATTCTTCAGATAACACTCATTTTGTTACTTCAATATAGTGTTATTGAACGAAATAGAGACAACAACAGGAACAAAATATAATAGTAAAACAAATCAAACAGTCAACAAAGAAAATAATACACGCGATTTACCCTGGTTTACCCAATGTGGACTACGTCCAGCTGAGTTATTATTGTTGCAATATGCCTCACCTCTCTCGTTTACAATAAATGAATTGCTCTCTCACCCATAACAAGAGAAAAGTATGATTATATACTAGGTTTAAAAGACTAAATCTAGTTTTACAAGGATTCCTATTCCTAAGCCCAACCCAATAAGGAATTAGTAACTTAAAAGAAATCCTACAGCGGTTATACATGGAAAAGCCCAAAACCGCCTACGGACTCGGAGGCGCTGCCCCTGCGACCACCGCGGAGCGGGGCACCCGCCTGCTGACCGAGCAATAGGACCCCCGAGTGCGTCTCCGTTACCCATTAATGCTGAAGTAGTCGACAACTCCAACAATTATCTCCTATCAATAAAAGTTTTTTAAAAAAAAAGAAAAACATAAACTTTACTGGAGCTGATTATTTTGATTGTATTTAATGTCAATTGTCTTTTTATCAAATTGTTACTGACGAAATTCTTTCAGTACATTAGCTTATTGCATCTCTTGGAACTGTACAAGAGTTGTTGAAGATCAAGTCATGTTCACATGATAGTGTGAGAGGTTTGATTTATATTTATAAGCAAAATAAAAATAAACTGTTCTTATTTACTTTCCAACTAATGAAGCCGACCTCTAGTCAATGTCATCAATGAAAAACACAAAAGTCTTCTGTAGAACTCTCCTGTGAAACACAAATTGGCAACGACTTTTCTTTCATTTGAGCTATGCTCTTTTTCCACATTTGTGTTACACGCAAAATTGACCCCTGTAAAATATACTATTCATTTATGGTTGTTTACATGACATGGCACTATAAATTTTACGATTATATCTGCCTTCTTCAACTTGAAGAAATCAAAGTAGCAACGGTGATGTTAAAACATTTAATGTTTGAATTCCTATGCATAGTTGCTCTTACAATGCAGTTGGTTCATGCTCAGAGTCAATCAGGTTTCAATAACTCAATCTTAACTATCAATTTTTATTTCTATTTACTAACTATATTCATTTACTAATTTCTCTGTATCTTACCACACCTTTCCCAGGCTTTATTAGCATAGATTGTGGAATATCAGAAAAATCTGGATATACTGACAAGTTAACAGGCATAAATTACACTTCTGATGCAAGTTTCATAAAGACTGGTGTTAGCAAAAATATATCACCAGAATACAACGATAACACCTTGGAACAACAATTCCTGAATGTTAGAAGCTTCCCTGAAGGAATGAAAAATTGCTACACTTTAAAACTTGCACCGGGCAACATTAAGTTTCTGATTAGAGCAAGATTCATGTATGGAAATTATGATGGCCTAGGGAAAGTGCCAAGCTTTGATCTCATTCTTGAAGCTGATGTCTGGGATTCAGTGCAAATGGAAGATACATCCACTGTTGTTACCAAGGAGATCATTCACATCCCCAAAAAAAGTTATGTATATGTCTGTCTTGGAAACACAGGCTCCGGAACACCTTTCATTTCAGCATTAGAATTAAGGCCCGTCAGCAATTCCACTTACCAAACTCAATCAGGATCACTACTACTCTCTTGGCGGTGGGATGTTGGTGCAACAGACAATGGAACATTCAGGTAAATTATTTTATATCATCAAAATTTGGTAATTAGAATCTTGATTTCTAAGTAAAGCTCTATGAAACAGGCACAGAGACGACCCTTTTGATCGCATATGGACCCCCTACAACCGCAACAACTGGGTAGCAATAAGTAACTCGCAGCCTGTCGATTCCAGTACAAACATTTACAGGCCACCATCTACTGTCATGAGGACTGCAGTTATACCAGCAAATAGAAGCAGTTCCCTGCAGTTCGATTGGGAGCACTCGGATACGACATCCAGATTTTATGCCTACTTCCACTTTGCTGAAGTTCAAGAGAATCTAGGCAATCAGACTAGAGAACAGGCCATCAACTTAAATGGAAGGACCTGGCGGAAACCTGATGTTTATGAGTACTTATATGCAATAACCATTTCCAGCACAGCGCCCATAGGAGTAGACAAAATTGAGTTCTCAATCATCAAAACTGGGAATTCAACCCTGCCACCCATGCTTAATGCTTTGGAGGTATATGCCGTAAAGGAATTCCCACAACTGCTAACAGACCAAGAGGATGGTATGTTCTTCTAGACAATTTACTTTTTTATCAGTTGTGGATGTTATTGTCTAGATTTTCCTTCACTGTTTATTTTTACTTTTGTCCCCCTATGTTTCAATTCTTATTCTTTATATATGCGTATGTGCAACTATTAGTCAATGCTGTCACGAAAATCAAGTCAATGTATGGAGTGAATAAAAGTTGGCAAGGAGATCCATGTGTCCCTAAAGATTATCTGTGGCAAGGTCTTAATTGCAGCTATGATGATTATAGTCCCCCAAGGATCATTTCCCTGTGAGTCCTCGCCTTTAAACTGCCATATTAGTCTCAATTATGTTAACTTTGATCCATGTGACACTTCCATATTTTAACAAACTTATTGGTCATGCAACTAGGAACTTATCATCCAGTGGAATATCCGGTGAGATATCTCCTTATATATCCAGTCTCGCATTAATACAATCTCTGTAAGCATCTCTGCCTTGAATCAACCTATAAGTACTCAAATTGTTGATGATGGAAGCCAAGTCAGCTTAATATCATCAATCACCATTTCAGGGACTTATCGAATAACAACTTGATTGGACCAGTGCCTGAATTTCTGTCACAGCTACCATTCCTGACGGTTCTGTAAGTTTTCTTTATCAAGATTATGATGGATAAGCATAGTTCCTTTGTTGCTAAAAGAAAATATGAAAAAAAAAAAAAAAAAAAAAAAATTAGGGATCATCTTTATTCTTTAGTATTCTCTTGCAGAAACTTGAGTGGAAATAAACTCGAAGGTTCAATTCCAGCGGTACTCGTGGAGAGAAAGCACAATGGTTTGCTATCTCTCAGGTTTGATTTACTTTCAAAGCTATAG